ACACTGTTCATGAACCACACCTGTACTTGTACGTTTTATTTATTTAGATACTTATTATTAGCTTTCTTGCGCGTATTATCAGAGAATTGGTTGGCATTCAGTTTGCGATATTAGTCGAGTAAAAACCTACAAATCGTCGTTTAAAGTACAAGACCGCGTATCAACAAAATGCAAAACCGCATATGTGAGGTTGCATAAATTTTTTTCTAGAGAGTAAAAGAAAGAGTGGCTGGTATATTTTAGGACGAATGGATAAGGATTGAGCCAATTTTTGACAGCAAATGTAAGTTACGCGGTTTTGCAGAATGAAGATACGCGGTTTTTGTTTTTTTTTTTTTTAATTTAAACAACGATATGTATTGTTGTATCTACCCTGCAAACCATTTGTTCAGAGTATTCTGAATTGTAGAGAAATTTTAAGGAATTCATAAAGATCTCATCCGATTTTTTGCCGAATTTTCTAAAATGATATAAACTGTGCACGCTTCGACTATTTTACGAAATTTCGGAAGAAAAGCAATGAAAATAATGCTGCTATGTGAAGAATTTCTTGCAGATTTTTTTTTAGAATTTTCTCTATTTTTTGTACATAAATTTCTTTACGAGTTCGTGTCAATCACTTCATATAAATTTCTTTGAAAATTCGTAAAGAAATCGTTACAGAAATGAGATACTCCTAAAGATTTCGTTAGGATTTCGGGAACTATGGTTTGCAGGGTAGCCACATTTACAATTTAATGACTGCTAGATAAACAAACACATGTACTTGTACATCATATGCCATATTAACATCAAATTTTCTAATATTTATCTTAAAGTTGTTGCTGTTGCTTTTGTTGTGTTTGTTTTCTTAATTAGCGAGTTGACCGAAAAAATTAAATTTAGTAAATTCTTTTGCTAAAAATTGATTGCGCGTCAGATATTATTTGCATTTCATTATTTAGATATTATAATGTATATATGTATATGTAGTAGAGATGTTTCGAATGTCATATTTTTCACATTCGCCGAATGCGAAAGCGATTGCGAATTCTCGGTATGCGAATGTTAGGAATGACATTAAAAAGCTATAATCAATTAAAGTCATCTTTTTTATCATGATAAAAATATAGGAAGGTAGAACCGCTGAGAGACATTTTTAGCATTTTTGACGTTTTCAAGCAATTTAGTTTTAAAATTTACTCACAAGCTTAAACACACATTCTGATTTTCAATATCACACAACAAAAATTTCGAACAATTTCATATATTAATTTTCAGTTTAATATGATTTTAAAATTTTTGCAAACGGTTATACCTGTGTTTACATCATGGTTTTTATTACTTAAAATTTTTGTAAATTATTAGAACATTGAACGAGTGCTTAACCTATGCAGTGTTTTAATCTAGTAGTCAAAGTTCAAAAGGGGCATATTATTTTTTAAAAAAAAAAAAAAAAAAACAATTGCTCACTTGGAACGTTAGCGGGTGGAGCGCTCAAATATTTGCGGGCCAGATCTGTCAATTTGTCATATTTTAGTTTAGCTTTCCACCGATCGAGAGGATTTTCACCGAGATGAGCTCGTTTTTCTTTAAGATAGGGCTTCAATTGAGCTTTAATTTCATATTGTTTAATGTCTCCAGATTTTACATCCGAACCTTCGCTGGAGGAATCTAAAATTACTTCTAGGTTGCTTATAAGATACTACGTAACGGTTTAGAACCTGAAGCTAAAAGCCGGTTATTGTCCGCACCCTGATTAGACAGACTTAGAGCCATTTCAACAATATTAGAGTGGATTCTCTGCCCATGTACACATTCGAATTTTTGATGCGAATGCGAATGTCGAATGCAAATACATATTCGCAACATCCCTGATATGTATGTATGCACACTTATTAGTAATGTTTACCCCCCTACACAGTTGTAAGAATCGCAATGGTCCTCAAGTAATACTCGTAGATCGCATTCGTGCTACTTAGTACATGTGAGTAAGTATGTATGTACGAGTATATGGGTGGTGGAATTTTTATAGAGCCATATTCAAACATAAATTATAATTACCGTTGTCTAGACTCTAGAGCGCCAAGCAAATTATTTTTTTAAAAGAAATAATGACGTCGCTTTAAAGGAGCATACCCAAATGCGGTTCTTGCCCCCCCCGTAGCATACCTACAAAACGATCGAAAAAGTTTCCTTTCAATCGGACGTTCCTCATCAGACAATGGTAAACCAGCGAGTACTGCCCTTAACAAAGCGGCGACTGCCTTTTGGATGCAGTTCGTTTCGTTCCGAAACTGGTACTTTGAAAATGATTTTGTACGTTGGTACGTTGATTTTGATTTTGGTACTTTTTCCTTAAAAGCGACAGTTAAAGCCTGGTTATGCCGGCCTTAGGCTTGATTTGACTAACCTAGAAAGTTATAAACGATTGGCTCTCCATGTCTTCAGCATTTGTATTTGTACACACAAAATTTTAAACGTTTAATTTGTTTGGGGTAAAATTGAATAAAAATTACAATTGTTGATTGTTGAAGTGAAACTTCTTTAGCGGCGGTTGGTTGGTTGGGAGTAAATTCGAAAATTTAACAAGTGCTTCTTGAATATTATGAATATTGTATTAATTTAGCAAAAACTTCCTAATAAAAGGTTAAACAATAATGCCGAATTTCCGCTAGGCGTTGAAATTACAAAAAATTAACGAAATAAAACATTTCAGAAAACTTTTGCAAAAAAATTATTCGTAACCCGAGTTTTTATGGTCAATTCGAATATCTGAGAATGCAGATTTTAACAGTTTGTAAAGTATTTTTAGATCATCGTCTAGTTTATATAAGTATATGCATACATACGGCCGTTTTTGGCCGATTGTTAGCCGATTCTTTTTACTTTTTCCGCAATTTTAGCAAATGTTCATCAAAATTTGAAACTGTTCATCAGATTTATTAGAATTTTTTTTTGAGTACGCAGTTTTTTTTTAGTTTTAGTATAATACAGTGAAAGTTTGAAGTATGTAGCTAGGTAAGTGTTGATTTTTGACAATTTCTTGTTCAAAAATACTTTTTTTCATTAAAAATCTACGGTTACTGTTTATTAACAAATTCAATACGATTCTGTTTATTAACAAATTCAATACGACACCTTTATAGTCAGCAGAAGCTGCATATTTTTACTAATATGAGTACAACTAAGAAATGTGATATCGAATGAACTATTTTCTTAACATTGAATAAGAAAAAGACTATGGGACAAAGTAATGCAATGATATGTATGCATAGGCGATATACTACTTTTTATATATATTAATGTATGTACATAAAAATAAGTGAATAGATTCTTGAATGATTGTTTCGTTTGTAATGTTATTTTGTTATGTTTTTCTTTTTTGTTTCTATAAAAGTTTATCAAAAACACTTGTTCTTTAATGAATTGATATTCAGGTAGTTTTAGTAAAGAATCGGCATCGGCATCGGCCGATTCTTTGCCCTAAGGCCGATTAATTGGCAGCGGCATCGGCCAAAAATTGGGAATCGGTCGGACTATAGTTATAAGTGCCGTAGCAATTAAATTTATAAAATTCTTTGCATTTATTAAAATTACGGAAAATGTAAAAGAAAATTTACGTCAATAAATGCTCAACTTAAAAAAAAAATAAGCTCTTCCTTTTAGCTACTATTAGTATTATTTAGCTCTTTTTAGCATTTTTTTCGACCCTACTTAGCTCCAAACGAAATTTTTTTTCTGGCAACACTGATGAGGATACCGATAAAAGTAAAGATGATGATAGAGGATGAAAGATTAAAATAACACAGAGACTCAATCGGGGAACTATTTCTGGATTTTATGAAAATCTTTAATTCATTTTACTTTCCGCTTTTGTAAATAAAAACTATCTCTAACTAATAGTGTTTCTGCAATTTTTGGTCATGACTTCATACCAACATACGCTTTTTCACTGTATGAAAACTATACGAAATAAAACCAGTATGTCCGTTTTTTTTTTTTAAATTGCAATTTTTCGAATAACTCGAAACCCGGTTTTGGAAATGAACACTTTCGGAGGCTTCGTGGTAAAATTGAATAAAATCTACAGTGAATCGTTCCCTTTGAGAGATGATGTATTTTGTAATGAATTGCCGTCGTCCCTTATCAAGGTTTGTTTGTTGTGTTACTCGACTTGTGAAACTCGAAATCTCTAACGCCAAATCCACCACCTGGGCCAAGGAGTTTAGGCTAGAGCTCGACGTATACGTCAATGATGTCAAAATACTGACGGTGAATTATCCAGAAATTTTGAGTGTCACATTCAATAACCTCTTCTCACTCTCGGCGCATAACAATATTGAATGAAATGAGTCGGCTGATGAGAACGGCTTTGAACGATTCCGTCGGCTACAATATCTTGTTATTTTTAAGCCGCGTTAATGCTGTTCCCCCGCCCCTCGAAATTCAAAAACGTTTTGAAGTGGTGAATTCATATTTCAAGTATGTAGGTATAATCTGGACATCTGTTACCAGACTTACATCTTCGTAGCTGCAGGAACTAATCTCTGGTTAGCCTTATATGTACATTGGGTATAAAATTCTAAGTAATAGTTACTGTTTAATTTTCTCTCTGTAAATATGTAAATATATGCCTGTATGTAGATAGATACAGACATTTATTGCAAATTGTCAAAAAGTACTTGTACTTAAATTAGTATAGCATTGGTGTATACTTAAGTATGTATGCAGTTAATGTATTGTATCGTATTGATACGAGATCGTTGTTGCCGGCGTAATCAAATCGTTTTGTTTTATACGAATGAACATATACATATATGTATGTATGTAGATACTTCTCGTGGTTATTTGTTTTCGTATGCGATTTCGTTTGTTGATCGTTGTTGCTACATACATTGTAAGCCGATCAATATGCATGCCTGGTGTGGGTTGTGGGCTGATGGGTTGGCAAGTTGGCAAGTTGGCTATTTGGCTGTATGATCGTTTCGTTATGACTTTGAGCCTATAAAGCATCGAACAAGTCTGCGCGCATTGTCAGTTGGTGTTTGACTTAGCTGCGTCTAATACATATACGAACGAGCATCTATATTAAAGTATCGTTACAGGAATCAGAAAATTTCGAAAAGAGCAAAAGAGAGTTGATGCCGGCGCGCGTATTCAAAAAAAAAAAAATAAAATTTTACATATGTATGTTGTGTACTTATGAGTGGATGATTGTAAATTAAAGTTTAAAAAAAACGGGCATGTGTATAAAAAATGCTTAATTAACAAAAAAAGAGACTCGTAATCGAATACTTGTATTGAAACAAAAACGGGTTTTTTTCGTAAGGGTTTACAAAAGTGCATTGTGCTGGTTAAAATAAAAACGCAGTAAACGCACAGCGGCTGGAGTAGTAGTGTGAAAGCAGCTAAAAATACAAGTATGTGAGATTTCAAAATATATTTTCCTAATTAACAGAATGTTTAAATGACGCTATAAAGACTGGTTTTTGGCGAGTGAATATTCTGCTATATTTGGGGCATTAAAAAAAAAACTTAAAGCCAAAAATTGGTCTCGAAAAACTGGGATTTAATTAAAAATATTCAATTTTAAATTCTCACTAGAAAATGGCTACAAAAAAACTTTAAGTATAAGAAAAAAATTTGTTTGGAACAACAAACGAATTCGTTGACCGATCACGCCAAAAAACAAAATCAAAAAAATCTACATTAAAATAGAAAATTTCCACTTTAATTACATATTTCAAAACAGCAAAAAAAAAACAGAAAGTGGTAAAAACGTTAAAAAAATTTATCTGAAGCAACAAAAAATTCGTCTTCCGATCACTGCAAAAAATATATAAAAATTTAGTTTAAATTAAATAATTTGCTTTTTAATAACATACCGCAGGATTTTTAAACACCAGAAAAAGCTGGAAAATGCTTACAATCGTAAATACTCAAAAAAGAATTTATCCTTTATCTGAAGCAACCAAAAAATTTGTTGAGAAAAAATTTTTGAGAGAAATTTTTTTTTTGCTTCTTAATTGTCACAATCCAGCGAAGCAACATAAAAAAGATAGAAAATATCTACAAAAGTAAATAGTGAACTTAAAAAAAAATTATCAGAAGCAACAAAAAAATCGTCTACCGATCACGCCAAAAAAAACAAAAAATTTAGATTATCTAATTAAAAAATTGGTAATTAACACAAAACAACACAAAAAGCCAGAAAATGTTTAAAAAGTTAATACCCAAAGTAAAAAAAAAAAAATATTTTTTATCTCAAACAACAAAGTCTACCGATCGCGCAATAACAAATAAAAAAGAAAACATTAAGGAAAAAATATCTTTTCTTATGGTTTTTGTTCTTCATTTTTTACTAGTCAAAGTAAAAAACTATGTTATTTTTTATCTGGCAACAAAAAATTATTAGAAAAGTAGTTTTGAGAGACAAAAAAAAGTTTGCTTTTTTGTTATCACAATCGAGCGAAAAACAATAAAAAGCTAGAAAATGCCTACTAAAGTAAATTCTAAGGGTATAAAAAAAAATTATCTGAAGGAATATAAAAATTGACAGACTTTCAAAACAACAAATAAAATTTTTTATCTCAGGCAATCTTTGTGTCTTTGATCGTCTGCCGATCATGTAAAAAACAAATAAAAAAAACATCGACGAAAATCGGTTGATTTTTGTTATGGCTTTTGTTTTTTATTTTTATTTTGTTTTTTTTTTTTTTTTTCGTTTAAAGTGTCTAAATTATTACTACGCATCAATAACAAGCTTTAACAACCGCATGCGGCTGTGCACAATGTTGTGACGATGCCAACGCGGTTACAAGATCTGCGGGTGAGAAACAAAAAAAAAAAAAATATAACTGGGAAAAAGGGGGAAGAACAACGCGCTTTATTGTCAATTCTCAGCCAAGCATGTGACTTGTGGTTTGCGATGTGTGCGGGTCTCTATTTTTGTTATTATTGGTTTTTGTCATTATTTTGACTGATTCACTTTTTTTATTTTACTGAATTTTTTTGCACCGAAACGTTTGTGTTTTTAGCAGACAACAAATATTTATAACAGTGATAAAAAAGCCATATACCTACGTACTACGGGGAAGCACTAAAATATCATATAATATTTGACAATTTTTTTACACAAAAAATTTGTTTTTTTTTTTTTTTTGTGTTGGAGAAACCATAATTTTCCGAGGGCCATTGTCTGAATTAAGTTTTAAATTGTATCAGTGTCCCCGTTGTGATATCAATTGAGAGCTCGTATTCGATCATGTCCGTTCACTTGGAAGTAGAACCGGTTGGTTAACTTAATAAAGCGCAAGATTTCTTGAATTGTTGCCTCGTTTAGGGCTGCTAGACAGACAAAAAGGTGGTGGTGAAACGAGCGCCTTTTCAAACACGAAATGGCAGGGCTGCGACAGAGGTGCTGTTCTACAATCTCAATTGATTCCTCGTCGCGGGAGCTCGATCAGAAGTTATTGGCCGGCAGGTTCATTCTGCTAGCATGCCTTCCTATCAAGCAGTGATTCGTTATAATACCAGTCATTTGCCTTAGTAGAGGGCGTTCTAACCGAATGAGTACATCGGATGTTTACTTGTGAAACTGCGCCAGAGTTGCCTAGTCGTCGCACACGTAGGTTCTTCCGACCATCTTTTATTTGACTTCTCCTTGAAGGGTTCCCTTCCTTGCAAGGTCGTCTGCTGTGCAGTTACCTTGTAAGTTTCTGTGACTTGGTACCACACAATGTGGGTAGTAGACTTTGAAGCTAACTTGTTGAAGATTTTTATACATTCTATCGCAATTTTTGATGAGCTTTCATAGCAATCCAGTGACTTAATAGCTGTTTGGCTATCGGAGTATATGGTTACTGATGGCAGACTAAGAAAAGATTCGAGTAGCGAGCTCTGTTTAGAAGAAGCTGCAGAGGCCTTAGAAGAGGTCCCTCGAGTGTATCCAACTCTATACTAGTAGATTTTGTTCCATGCGTTGTTTTGCAGGCCTTACACCGAATCCTCCTCCCTCCTAATATCGAGCTCGAGAGGCGGTGTTGCGTAGTCGGGGAATTTAAAAGTACTCGAATTTTGGTATGACCCAATCCGAGGTCTTTCCATTTTGGCAGTGCACTTAGTTTTACTGCATGTACCTTGACTGAAGCCTCCCGAATCTATGGGCGGAAAGATAACTAGTATACCAGGGTTTTAGTCTGCATATTAAACAAGGAACGTTGGTAGAGGCACATCTCAGCGTGGAGTAATTTCGTAGTTTCTTCTTGGTGGCAGCCTCGCGAAATCAGTATAATCATTTAAAACTATTAAGAGTTATATATTAAAAACTGATTTCCTCTAGACCTTCATAGCTTCAGTGTTTGTTGTAAGACTCATAGAACTGGGTGTAGGAAAAGAAAGAAGTCCGATCGGGCATAGTTATATAGTTTCTCCTTTGTCGTCTTAGATTAGACTGGGCATCTATTAGAAATTCACGACCTAAAATGGAATTTCACGGGTACTTCGGATATATCGTCTGCACCTACATCGATGGCTCCAAATGGAACGCGTATCCGGGGCAGCCATTTTGCCTGAATCCCTGGAATTAATAAAATCAATCAATCTGCCTGACGTTGCAAGTGTTTTCCATGCCGAATTATTTGTTATGACTGAAGTCATTCGACTTTTAAAATGTAGTAGCTTATGCCACCGTCAAGTCGAACGAGTCGCCACTTTCTTGGACAGCTGGCTCTGACGTATTTTACAACATAGTTGTAATCCTTAAAATACACTAGATAGCAGTTAGGCTGCGATTAGGTTAGGTTAGGTTGATGTGGCAGTCGGTTCAAGTTACCAACTCACTTGAAGGTCCATTGTGGTTCCACTGAAGAACACGGGAACCTCGGTGACTATTCTTCAGAGAACCAATTTGAGGCTCTTATAAAGCGGAGAATCGGTTTTATTCCACCGCGTGATAATTCCGTAAGAGAGCTAAAGAAGGGCCTACCCAAAAAGCCTGTTCTCCTCTTGGCCGAAGCTGGGCAACTATAGAAGAAGTGCTCTGCGGTTTCTTCCTCTTCCTCATCTCTGCAACTTCTGCAATATTCGAAGGAGAAAATTCCTAGTCTTGAAGAGGCCTCAAAGAAAGAGGCTCAAATAGCCAATAACCGGTTACACAAGCCGTGACTTTCGCAATATCCTCTCTTGAGAGGCACAGCAACTCTTTCGTCTTTTTCTTTTCTATTCGCGGCCAAAGCAGCCTGGTTGTTTTACAAGTGCCCTCCTCTAGCCATGACCTGTTGGCCTCTTGGATCATGCTATTTCGAAGTTCTAATTTGCATGCCATGGGTATCCCAATAGTGCCCCTGTTTTCACATAGGGGTAGATTGGTACCCTTCATGGGTAGCTCATCAGCCCTGCAGTTTCCATCAATATCTCTGTGTCCCGGAACCCTTATGAGGCTGACCTTGATTACGGCGCTAATATCGTTTAGAGCTGCGAGGCATTCCTAAGCAACCTTAGATCTCAGCATTACCATGTTCATTGATTTAATGGCCGCCTGGCTATCCGAGAAAATATTAATCGTAGTCTTCGTTACGGCATGCGTACTAAGGTACACAGCCACCTCCTTTATAGCTAAAACTTCTGCCTGATAAACACTGCAGTGGTCCGGAATTCGGACGGATAGTTCCAGTCCTAGTTCCTTAGAGAAAACTCCGTAACCAACCCTATTATCTAGCTTGGATCCATCTGTGTAAAAATTCAAGTCCCCCCCTTTTCCATGGTCTTGGTGTTTGCCATTCTCTTCTTGAAGGGATGCTCGTCTTCAAGAGCATATAGAAGATTAGTTTCGAAGCGGAGTAGTCAGCTTCTTGGTTGTAACTACCCAGAGTGTAAAGTATGGAAGCGTGCCCAAACCGACGATCCTTCCATAGCACCATACTCTTTAGTCTGAGCGCTGAATCGGCGGTTGCGTATTTCCCCATCAGGTTTATTGCGGACAAATTGGTTATCACCTGCAGCGCCTTATTTGGGATGTTCCTTAAGGCACCTGAAATGTATAGAAACGCTGTTCTTTGGACCTTACTCAGTAGTTTTAGGTAACTGGCCTTTTGAGTTGCTGGCCACCATACAAGTATTCCATGTAAGGGTATTGGCCTGACCACCGAGGTGTACAGCCAATATGTAATACGAGATGTTAACCCCCACTTGATTCCGACCGTTTGTTTGCAAGTGTATAATGCAACGTTGGCCTTCCTTACTCTTTCCTCTATATTTGGTTTCCACGCAAGTTTCCTGTCTAATATGAGTCCTAGATACTTAACATTCTCCTTCAAGGATATCTTCACACCCATAAAGAATAGCGGGCAGACTATGGGAAGCCTGTGTTTCCTTGTAAAGAGAACTACTTCGGTTTTCTCGGGGTTTATTCTGAGTCCCC